AAGTAAACAAAACATTTGAGTTGATCAGAGCAGTAACGCCGCCGCCGCTGCCACAAACAGTCAAATCGGGGGAACGACGGTTAGTGCAGTGTGGAGAGGCATTCGGTGAAGTACGGACGGGGCTGTGATGCGCCCAAGAGATTATCCGCAATTATTCAATACAGTTTGGAATAAGTGAGGCCGCCGAGTGTAGAATCAAGTTCGCCAAGGATTGATAGTTAAATGATTAGCGGAAGTGAAATCGCGTATCATAATTGAGAAAGACCAATAAGATAGTAAATCGCGTGGCTGGTGGGCTAGTGTCGTGATCCCGCACTGTAACAACATAATAGTGGACAGTGCCGAACAGACAGTTGTGCGAAGCCGAGAAAGGTCACTGAAAGGATTAGAATAGCCGACGAACATTAATCTCGCGTCGTTCGTTCCCGTATGTGTGAGACATTGTTCACACCGGCTGGGGCGGACCCCGGCGAAATCATCAGCCGTCACGTTGGGCCGGAGGAGCTGGTCGCCAAGGGACGGCGAATCCCCGACGGGCTTCGGGGCGAACCGAAGCTTGACGAAGCCACCGCCACCGTTGCAACGACGGCCCCGGACGAACCCGGAGGGAGCAGATGGTATTTGTTAAATGTCGAGGTAGTATGTGCATTGGAGTTGATCGGCGCGCTTGTTTCAAGACCTAAGAATTACTGTTTGTAAATGTTATTTGTGAGGTGTATTCTTTGGTTATTAAAACGTTTAGATGTATAAAGGAGTTTTATAAAAACAAATGTCTTAACCATTGCGGCCCAATTCCTAGAGACCATTCACGAAAGGCACCTGTCCCTTGCATAATTTATTGTCGTGAAAGTACCCGCTTCTCAGGTTACGTCCAATATATATTATATATATATATATATATATATATATATATATATATATAATAATGTAGACTAATGTGAAGCGAATATCGCGCACATCCAAAATGGTGTTATGGTGTGGTCGTGTTTTTCTGGAGGGGGCTTTGCAACCCTTGTTTTGTGTTTGCACTGTCACGTCACAGGCCTAATGTTGACGTTTTAAACACTTTTCTTACTACCACCCTGTTTGAAGAGCGATTCGGGGATGGCGCTTGCATCTTTCAAACCCGATCGAAACAATGTTCATACTGACGGCCTGTGGTGGAGTGGTTACACGACATTAACATCTCTGTAATGGACTGGTCTGTACAGAGCCCTGACTTGAATCCTATAGAACACCTTTGGGTTGTTTTTGGAACGTCCGACTCCGTGCGCAGGCCTCACCGACCTATATCGATATCTCTCCTCAGTGCAACACTGCGTGAAGAAAGGGCTGCCATTCATCAAGAAACCTTGCAGACCTACACCTACAGCAGCTACAGAATTATTGCCGTTTTTTGATTTTCCTGTGTGGTTTACCAAAAACGTATGTAATATAAAACAATGAGTTTAGCATTATAATGTAGAAGTGCGAAGGTATTTTTTTATAAATACTTAGTTTTATAAGATTATATTTTCAGTGCTTTGGGGTTTTCTCAGACAAAAGCAGGGCTAATGTAATAGTTTCGAACCAATTATCTGATGGAGTCGAGCCGAGCATTGTGGGCTATTCCCGTTGCCCCGAAATTTTTACCTGCCTATTATTACAACTGTAATAGTTGTTTTAGAAGTATGCGAGTTTTATGTTACCTCAGAACTTTTTACTCCAAACTGTTAATTAACTGGCTTCGAAATCACCCAGGCTAAGAGGTGACACTCCACGAAGTCTGTTCTTTCTTTGAAGAAGCATTTGTAAGAGCAGGCGCAGCAAGAAACAGACCAAGTTGATCTGGATATACAAACCCAGCAGGATAGTATCTTAAATTTTTCTGATGATTCTTTAGCTCCATCAAAAACACACAAACTGTGAACTGCCTCTAGAAATCATCAAAATCTATATTGGAAGCTATACCCATTTCGTAAATTACGTTATTGGCGGAGGCAGAATCTCAACCCCTAATTGCTTCTCTGGAAGCAAATTTTTCCTGTGCTAAAACAGGACCAAATTCAAGTCCATCCCGCAGAACTGGAAAAAATAGCCATCATAATAATTCACAATAGATGGACATATGGGAAATTTGAGGGATTTTTCCGGAGTTCAAGGAAAAATCTCGAGGAAAATACTAGATCTATAACTACCAAAAATAACTAATACAACACAGGAGGAGAGCAAGGCAAATCACTTGAAGAAAAGACAGCCATAAGCATCAATCAAACTCAGAGACACGAAACAACAGTGATGATAGCAACATTTAATTGTAAAACTTTACAAACTTTATAAATAAATCTAAAAACACTAATTTATGAATAGAATAAATCATTGTTCCAATACAAATGTAAATTAACAAATTGCTTTCAAAGTATAAATTGGCTTTTTAAATTTATCATTTACAAATACATGTTTGATTTTTTATTGTTCCATTGAATTTATTTTTAAAATCAACATTGTTGTTCAGTAAACTATTTGATTAATGCTTATTCAAATAAAAACTTTTATAAAGTTTTTATTTTTTTTTTAATAACCGAGACTAAGCCTATTTTTGCTAGAAGGAAACCTAGCTCTCCTTTCACATACACCTTGAATGGTTGATATTAATACTAGCAAAACAGTATTTTATCATTGCAACACATTTGAAGCCATACAAAGTCTATTTCTTTCTGATTCAATGCCCACTCAGTAGCAATACCATTTAGGTGCTGATTGGTTTGCGTTTATGCTGAAGATTGTTGCTTTGAGGTTCTGTGTAAGCATCTTTGGCGCAAAAGACAATGACAATCCACTGCATATTTCCATAATAAGAAAGACAATATGAATAATTTTCGAATAATTGAATAAATAATCATTGTTCAGGAGCAAAAAACTGACGTACGGCACTATACACAATATTAATACTGTACTGAATGTTTAAAAACCTCACTTAAGTCTCAAGATCACCCATTTCCTCAGGTAGTATCAAAGGGAGTCATTGGATATATTAATTGAATTTAGATTTTCATTCAGATCGCCCTAACCATTATATCCATCAAATTCCATCTTTTCTGAATATCTGGTTACCATCAAACGCAATGTTCTTCAGGAGTGAGGGTATTTTAATTGCTTTCAGAAGATCTAGAAGAATGTACGAATTCTTGCTGCCTTGTCAGTCGATTTGAATGAAGGGTGTTGCGCGCGCTGTGTTGCCGAGATGCTCCTCACAGTCCCGAACCTCTAGAAAGCGCGCGAACGTCTCTCTTTGGACTGATTTAGGCTTATGATTTTGCAAAATTCTCCCATTTGAAACGGTAGATTTTCTTCAAATTGCGTATGTTGATTCTTCGAGATGCTAGCTATCAAAAGAAACGTTTTTAAAGCATGTTCAACAGTTAATTTTCTCACAATTTTCAAATTTCAGGTCAGCTGTACCGTCACCATAAGAGTCCATGTTAAAACAGCAAACTTTACGATCTCTTTACGCAAAAACTGGACGGTAAAATCAATTTAAACTTTACCAGAACATAGAAGAATCTCTCATCTTTCGATTCATACAATAAAAAAAGGCATGTTAAACATAACACTTATCTCGCTCTAACCACTTTAACTGAAATCCGAAATGGCGTAGTTTTCGCAAGAGGCAACGTTCTAACAAAACAAAATAACATCTCGCTTCACGATAGCGCAGCACTCGGGCTATTGCACGTTTACTGAGGATATAACGTGCTGCCACTATGTAGATACATTTTTGGAATTTCTTTCAAAGGTGTCTTTCTTTCTTTATTCGGTGTTTCTACGTTTTTTATTGTGTTTCTTATTTTTTCCATATCTTTTTCGTGTAATTGTCCTTTCTCGTTAGTAACCCTAAATTTACCCCTTTCCTTGCTCCTCACACCCATATCGTCAACAACCCACACATCATAAAAACGTCACCACCCACTCGACTCCATTCAGCGCCTATCACTACACCTCACTATCAGCACCACCACTATCACTACACTCGACATACTCCATTTCAGCGCCTCGGACTACACCACTCACCCACTAACCTACAACCATTTCCAAATACTTACTGCAAACTTACTTAAAAGTTACTTGTAATACTGACCAGACTGAGAGAAAATGACAAAAAAGAAGACTTGAAATACTGACCAGACTAAGACAAAACAATACTTGGCGGTTATATAAAAATAAAATTAAAAAATGAACTACAAATAAGAAAATTAGCTGACCTTGCAGTAATAAACAGGCCTCATATTTCACCCCAAAACGTATCCCATAAAAACACCCTTAGTAAACCCCACCTGTCCTCTTCACATCCTTTTCCCCTCCCCTTCTTTCCTGTTACCATCTATATGGAGGATGGAAGGAGTTTTTGTTTCATTTTTAAATCTCCAACTTGTGAATGCTCACCAACGCGGAAAATGCTATTTATGTAAATGCCGCTTAAACAATAAAAACGAAAACCTCAAAGTATGGCGGTCTCTAGGTTTCGGCGTTGCGCTGCTCAATGTATTGGATGTATCGAAAAGAACTATGCCATTGGGAAATTAGTACACTTAATTCTTGTCGTATATTGTTCGTTAGGAAGTCAATTTGTGAAGGAGTTGTATGCCATAACGATGGGGCGACTCAAACTCTACGCCACATTGAATTCGAACAGTAATTTTTTTAATGCCATCTTTTATTACGAACTCAAGGCTAATTTTTTGATCTAATGGTAGACAATTCTTTCATTGTCGATTATGACCACGCCGCACCTTCTCGGCGTCTCTAAGTTGCCGCCTATCGCGGCAGTATATCTTCTCTGCGGTTTCTCTTTGATTCTGAGTGCAAACTGAAGAAAGCTCGTTTGCGACATAGAATTGTGTAGTAGTGTTTTCTCTTCAACGCCACAAATCCGTTGACAAGCAAGGGAAACTATATGACATCAAAACTTAAAGAAATCAAGCATTTGAAAGCAGGGAGACTTAACACAACAAATTCAAATACAAAAAACTTATATTTCATTTTAATTCGACTGTTATTGATTTATAATACATTACATAATAGATTCTTTGAATATTAATGACCTATTCCAAAGTACCTCCGCTCTTCTTCGCGAAGTCGGAATGAAACAGTTTACCGTTGTTGTCTGCGCACGTTCTTCATAAATTGTGGGTTTCTTTGATTCGATTGTTCTGAAAATAAAGAAAAGAGTGAATTCACAAGTTCTTGGTACACATCAATAATCAATTAAACGTTTATTCTTTGATAAGGGACAAGATTGACACTGTTGCTTTGTTAATCTTGCCTTTACCAAGAGGCGCGAAAGGATGATAGAGCATAAGGACACTAACACGAAGCCAGCAGCAGCGAAGCCAAGAATATCAACAGTGGAAGCGAGACACTAATCGTTGAGCCAGCTTCGGTTGAGGTTAGTGTAGAAGGATTAGTTGTACTTGGCCCCTCTGTTGGTGTTGGTTGCGCATCAGGCTCTTCAGATGCATTTTCGGTTGTGGTTAGTGTTGAAGGATTAGTTGAGCTTGACCCTTCTGTTGGTGTTGGTTGCGTGTCCGTCTCTTCAGATGAATTTTCATCCCACTCGTTTTCTGTTGAAATGCATGTTGTATGAATATAATTTAGTGTAATGTTGGAATATAAATATTGGTAATGTAATGTTAATGAATACTTGTAATTGACAGAAAAAGCAGGTACATATGGAAAATTGTATTTAGGTCAGTAATGTATCATGTAAAAAAGTAGTTTTAGATAAAATGAAACATGATTAAAATGTTTGTAAGAGCAAGGACGTTTTCAATGTTTGAACTGCTGATAACAGATGCTCTTAAGAATATTGAATCAAAAAGTAAGTTACACTAGCTCGCTGCGAGAGCACGCTGTGTCATGACCGTGGCCAATGCGGAGCAAGCAACAGTAACTGCTGACACGCCCGATAGGAAGGTTGGTATGGTATTCCGTCGTGTTGTGGATGCAAATCGGGCTAGGATAAATGGTGAGTCGACTGGATGTTCACTACAAATTGGAGGTGCGTTCATATTGTGAAACGTTCAGCCGTTTGCGTAAGGAAATTAAAGAAAAACGGGGGAAATTTAGCACCAATGTGATTTTGTTGCACGGTAACGCAACACCCCACACGACCCACCAAATGCCCTGCTGCAGCGATTCAAGTGGGAAGTTTGGCAACATCCTTCATACAGTTCCGACTTATCGTCTTGCGATTATCACGTGTTAGGTTAGCCGAAAAAGGATCTTGGTGGATGACGATTCCGAAACGATGAGTAAATGAGAGCAACCTTTTTCAGGTGGTTACATAACGCTGAAGGTGATTTCTGCGCATCCGGAATCGTGAAGTTGGTTGACCGTACCGAGAAATACCACATGCTTGGAGACTATGTGGGAAAGTGAACTTATATTGCATGTTGTCATAGGCGTGTTGCCTAGTGAAGGTGGTTCCTTAAATGGCCATAACTTGGAAGTGTACTTCTTGTTTGCCCTCTTAGAATTGGATGCCACCTTGGGATCATTTAACTTTATTATCAAAGTTGTCGGGTTTGTAGGACTTCAATTCTTGGTGATGAACGTGGAAGTGGAAATGGGATGTGTTTCAAAAATGAATTTTATTCTGTGTATTAGATCGATACACACGTGAACACAAGCGCCTCCTCCTTACACGCCTCCATCAATGATATTAAAGGTAAATTGTTAATGGCCAAAAATGTTGACGCATGATGAGCACGTTGAGAACACATTATCAAGCCTTTCAACTTAATAGTTGTTTTACTTTCACTAAAAAATGGATGACGTATTTCGCAAGAAACAGTGATATTTCCATTAAAACATTGCATCAAAGTGATTTTGATCCAGAGGTTACATGCAGACATACAATATTCGAATTTCGCTGGTTAATCGAAATAATGTTTGCCAAGAGATCAGCGCCTCCAAATACAGGTAGTATCTCCTGAACCGTAAGGAAATGGGTATGGGTATAATATTTTGTTTGGTGTAAAATCTAGTGATGCAAAAGCACATAGTGTGAGTATTTCCTAGCATTATTTCTAACTTTTCCAATTTACGAAAAGACAGTGAATTAAACGAAAATTAGACTAGCACGTCTTTTGTTCTATCCGTGAAAAAATGTGGAGAAAAAATTTGAAACCATTTTTCAAAAAAATATATTTTTATAAATTGCATTAACTTCAAGCAGAAATTACTCGTAAAATACTTGCTCTTTCAAAAAGTGTACATGACCGTTTTTAAATATATACATTTTTTAGAATATATTTTATTTAAGAAAATATCTACCACTAATATTGTATTTATGTAATTTTAAGTATTTGAAAACATTTTTTTTCAAAAATACACAGATACCCTAACATGGGACCAGCACTATTTTTTATCGTTATTTGTGACATACGAGGAGAAAGTTTTAAGAAAACATTTGGAGCCGATTTTGAGAATTTTTCATAAATTGTTTTAACTTCAAGCTGAAATTACGCGAAAACTACTAGTTTTTATATGAACTTTTTAAAAGACATGATTTTGTAAAACAGATTTCATTGAACAATATTGAACTTTTACAACATTAATATTTTGAAATTTTCCATAATACACTGACTTCCCCGAAAATGGGACCACTATTACCTTTTTACCGATCTTTGCTACATATGAGGAAAGAATTTGAAATAAAAAATTGGAGCCGTTTTCATAATATAATTGTCTAAAAATTGTCAATATTTCTCACAAAAACTACACATATTTTTCAAAAATTGTACATGACCTCCCTTCAAGGTCTGTCTTAGAACAACTGACTTCGGTAAGAAAAAAATCTTTAATAATGTAATTTTAGAAACACTTTCGAAAAAAATTTGAACTTCTGCAATTCTCAAAAATTCAGAGACATCAATAAAAATTAGACCTGCGCATTTTTTAAGTTTTTTCGACACTATCCAAGGAAAATGTTTAATAAAAAATGTAGATTCGTGTTTGTGATAATTTTGAAACTTTTGTTGTGGCGTCGTGTAAAGGCAAAATCAAAATATCCGTTTCAATCTCTCAGAGCTTCGTGTTCGTTTAGACCAATTGGAAAATCTCAATTTTGGAGAAAATAATCTGAAAAGTTTAGGCACTAGCGTTGACTAGAGACGGACAAACGGAAGGAAGGATAAGTTTTGACGGCTTCTGACCTGATTCATGCAGAACCTTTAATTCTGTGAATTCATTAAACTTCAGGGACATTCTTCGCATTTTAGGGCGGCAATGAGCGACTATTTCGATATTTTACAAACCCAATAAATTATATCATCCTCATTCACAAAGCGGAGACAGAAAAATCTTGGTTATAATAATGTATACTCGACAAAAGACACATTAGTAAAACAATCCGTTTAGCCGAAATCGCTAAGGCACTATTGTCGTGGCGATCTCGGTTCGAAGGATTGCGGGTTCGAATCCCGCCTCGGGCATAGATCCATTTGTGATCGTCTTTTCACCCCTCACAACCATCCTACTTCATTAAAGAAGTATTAATAATTCCCTACTCAAGGAGGCCCTCACCCTTGCCTAGGATATGCATTTGGCTAATAAATAACAATAATGAAAAAATGTACATGAATAAGATTATCGTTCTATAAAGGAATAGAAGAAACATTATCTCGTCTAAAGTTCTTAAAAATGTATTATCACTATAAAAATCAAACATATATAATATGCTTTAGTGTTGTAATGTGTGTATTATAACAAAAATGAATAAGAAATGATATGTGATAACTATAATTTAGGTTGATGTGAGTAAATGTGTTCGATAGTGCTCTAAAGGACTCTTAGATATGACGTGACGAAGGACTAAGATTACATTAGAGCGTTCGTTCAAGTGCTTTATTACAATGTATTGGAATTGCATGAGGTAAGTGACATGCAAAAAATCGTCATTTTGTAGAAAAGTGAAGAATTGAAAATAGTGAATGTTTAATAGATAGCCCAGTCTTGGGACGCAATATAAACGATTTTGCTCTGGATAAAACCGTTCTGTTTCATAATGACAATTTTTTGAGATGGTCACTTTAATTGTGAATTGACAACACGCTTTTACATTTTCGACGCCAACAAAAACGGGCATTTTCGCAAATGTCGCTTATCTCCCCAATGCGAACCGACCAGAGACAGCAGCACAATAGAAGCTTTTAGAATTTAGTGTAAATATTTACCTCCGATATTAGAGATGCTCCTAAAAAAGTTGAAAGTTTTACATGAATCCACAGCATTCTGAATCCATACTACCGAAGACGTTGAAATAGCCAAAGTAGCAACGGTTTTCATGCAGTCAAAAATGCCAGCAGTAAGCCACGAACCATTAAGGAGTAGGTTCAAAATTTAGCATTGCATAGAAGGATAGCCTTGCGTTCATTGGAACCCTTGCTAGAGTGCTACTCAGGGCCTTGCAACTCTCCATCAAAACAGGGGACAAAGCTGGAGGGTGCTACGACAGGTGGCGTCGTGTCGCCGTGCTCAGCTCCAGGTTAGGCTCGCCAACTTCCGCATATAAAAATTGGCTAATTTGTGAGAAATACGACACGTGTCTTTTAAATGTTCAATTATTCATAATGTATACATATAAGAAACCTCTGGAGAAAGCGCTAACATCAACGCTATCTTTTGTAACATTATGGAACTGCTTGCGAACCCGAGAACCCACGCAGCAGCCACGCCCGTTTGACGAATCGGTGGCAGCAGTTCGTGTTTTAGTTCCTGTAAGAAGGTGCTGCGGGGGGGGGGCGTCACTATAATGGTTTCCACCTCGTTGTATGGGAGTTGAAAGGCCCTGGTGCTACCTTTCGCCTTGAGAGCGGCTTCAGACCTCGGCGCTCCTGTTCCATGATGTAGAACATGTCGGAGAAGCGCTCCCTCTGCACCGGGGGCAGACGCACCGCCAGGTAGTAATCATCGAAGGTCGTGTGCGGCCGCCAGTTGACGCCTTCCACTTGCGGTTTCCTGCGTTGAAAAGGATGGTTTAGTACACAGAAACACACAACTTTCCTTTACATAAAGTAAATTGGGTAGAAATGCAGTTTCTGATTCGAGTCGGTCACGCGCGTTGTCGATTCCGAGAATGAGTCACTCGCGGCTCAGCCACAGTATAGGCGCCTTTTCACTGTGGCATGCGCGGCCGACGCACTTTCCCGCGGAAAGTGACGCCTTATTACGCACTACCAAGTTGAGGACGAGGCTCGGCCCTCGTGTTAACATAAAATGTTCTTGAGTCTATCAGACGCATAACACAAAGGAACAAAACTTTCTTTTGTTTCATACCTACAGGATGAAAGTAGGTGATTTCAAAGGAAACAATCAAGCTGATTTCGAAAATCATTACAAAATGTTTCTTTCATGCAAGCTTTAAAAGAAGATATATACATATTTAATATTTGAATTAAAAAATTCTATAAAACTTCGGACATTGTCACTGCCATTTATCTATATATAAAAATGAATATCGCTAAAATTGTGTTGGTAAGCGCATAACTCAACACGCCTGGACCAATTTGGCCAATTGCGTTTTTTTAATGTTCGTTTGAGTTCAAGAATGTTTTTACGTAAGAAAAATTCGAATAATTGCCGGAAAAAACATAAAAAACGAGCCCTTTTCGTTTTTAACTTCCAACG